GTAAAGGTTTGCAAATGGGTTCCAATTCATGTGGATTTACGTGGGAGGTATATTGTAACATCCATTATTATGTATATCTCTGAGTCTGCGCTAAGTATAGATATATCGACAATTTTATCACGGTGTTGTTTACAAAGCACGTCATATTAGAATAAGCTGTTAAAACAAATAAAATAACCTCAGATTTCAAAAGATTAATTTGCAGTTTCTATTTTTCATTGTATTTTTATATGCTTGTATGAATATTGTTAGTGTTTCATGAGCCTCTAACGGCTGCCTCGAATAAAGTTCATGCAAAATAAAAAATCTACTCGGAAATCTAGTCGTGCAATAACCGTAAATTATTTTATATAATTTTTCATACCAGCCGTGGAATTATTCCTAGATTCCATTTCAGTCCAAGCCGCAAGCTAATCTATTCAGCCCATTTTCATTAAATGCTTAAAAAAGGTTGAAACATTTCGATTATTCTCTGGCAATATGAATACACGTTCATTTCCACCATTAAACTATGTTCAATATTACATAATGTTATTACGAAGCTCACCACCAGTACTAAACAATAATATCAGAGTTTTTTTTATGTAAATGGCATATTTTATTTTTAATGTTAGTGTTCTTTACTCTATAGCACATACCTCTATCGTTTTGATCGACGTAAACATAACAAGCATGTTCCTCGTCAGCCATTGTTGTTTTGAACACTTATAATGTCATTGAGAACAGTACAAAATAGCTGGTTACTAATATGTGCCCCGGGCAGAATTAACCAGTTATTTGCTCCCGCACGAAATATAACTAGGGTTATTATGGCAAGCTGTTCTCGTCCAAACTATTTTTAAACCATTTTTCGAAAAATTCACACACTGAGAATTAAAAAAAACACACACTGAGATTAAAAAAACATAAAAACACACACTTAGAATAAAAAATTACACACTGAGAATTTAAAAACAACACACTGAGATTAAAAAAACCTAAAAACACACACTAAGAATAAAAAAATTACACACTGAGATTTCATAAAGATGCACTGAGATTACAAAAAATGAAAAACTATCAATTGAAAATTATTGAGATTTCAAAAAGACACACTGAGATGAAATAAACTGAAAAACACAAACTGAAAATTTGAAATTACACACTGAGAATTTAAAATTACACACTGAGATTTATGCACACTTTTTATGCGCACATATATAATTAGCATACTTAATCTGAATCTATTACAAGCTTAAAACAACTAGGGGACAGAACTCGTTAGTCTTTCAATTTGGCACCAAATGTTTTATAAAAAAATTAGAACTACAACGTATAGAAAAACTACGTTATTAAAAACCAATAGAACAAGAAAAATACCCACTCACTCTCATTACAAAATATAACCAAATGGTGAAAAACTTTATTAAAATTATAATAAAACTTTGGAACAATCTTCAAAAAGATAAACAATGCAGTGAAATTTTTACCCAAGTGCCTATTATAGCATATAAACGTAACAAAAGTATAAAAGATTACCTTGTGAAATCAGGGTAACAGTTGAAAGATTTATGAAAAGGGACTCATGCTTAAACAGTTTTAAGCAAAAAATCCCGATACATTGTTAGTAGTAATCTGAATTATAGATAACAAACTTATGAATATGAGTTAGCAAAAAAAGATGTTAAGTCTTGAAATTTATTACGAATTTTGGTTGAAGGAACCGCATTTCATTATAATAACGAGACCAAGATAATAATCTGTTGAATTATTCATCTCATGAATATTCATTAGAAATGCGCATATATTAATCTCCATGTGTATTTTTGAAATATCGGTGTGTAATTAACAATTCTCAAAGTGAGTTTTTAAATTTATTTTATCTCAGTGTAAAATTGAGAATGGAAATGGGGAATGTGTCAAAGAGACAACAACCCGACCACAGAACAGACAACAGTGTCTTTTTAAAATCTCAGTGTGTAATTTTAAATTCTCAGTGTGTGTTTTTCATTTTTTTCAAATCTCAATGTGTAATTTTAAAATCCCAGTGTGTAATTTAGATTTCTCAGTGTGTTATTTTATGATTTTATATCTCAGTGTGGTTTTTTAATTCTCAATGTGTCATTTTTTTCGAAAAAAGGGTTTAAACATAGTTTTGATGAGAACAGCTTGCCATAGGTTATTACATATGCAAACCCAAAATGTTCGTATCAAATATGTATTAGTCTTACATATACCTTGATATGGATCGTGGTTGTCTTTATGCTTACATAATTTCTGATTGTTTAGCAAAATATGACAGACTTTTCTATTTTGAAAAAAACATGTTGCGTCTTTGACATCTCGAAACTCAAACGCTTTAAATTAGCATCAAGGTTATAGCTTGTGGTCTATACTAACGTCCTACTGTGACTTTGAAATGGAAAAACAGTTATAAAACCGCTGATTTTTTGCTTTCGATAATTTAAAGTAAGTGTAAGTAGGGATTTTGTGTTATAAAGTACACCTTCATTTCAATTAGTTTAGGCTTCCGTAATCAGCTATTCATACTGATAAAAGATGATATGATCTCATCGAGTAATTACACCATAAATGTTACACAATTCTTCTCTAGAGGCACTGTGTCTGGGAGCAAGCGAGATTAGTTTCATTTTTTCTGCACGTCATTGGAATGATTAAAGTGAAAGGGACGTAGAAAGTGGTTTACTTATAATTTCTTTAGTTATGCCGTTTTGAACGGACAAAGTTCAATCGTCCATGTAATTGTACTAATCTGGCTTTCATTGGTCCTTATATTAAGGTAAAGAATGTGTTTCAGACCAATATACTCACAGACGTTCCCTGTAAAGATGTTTTTCCTCAGAACTTTTCTCATTGATAAATAAGAGGCTAATGATACCAAAGAAAGAATATATTTGAATTGTTTAGAAAAAAATCTCATTACGGGTTTATAACCTTTCCATATACATGAACATTTTAATTTTATTAACCTTGAAATAGCTCATTCTAAATGTTTCATTATATGTACAGGAAAACACAAATAATGGTTTCCCTCCTATTTTCATCAAATAACTTAGTTGTTTTAACTTTTGGTCACAGTGCTGTCATTCCCTTTTCAGCTTACTACTATTACAAATGTGTTGATTGACTTCCATGGTATTTTCTGACTTTTTTTCAGCTGATATCAGTATTTTTTTCTCTTGTAGAATGAATAAAAATAAATGTGTTGACCTTCAAAGATGGATTTCTACCGATATCTTAAATTCTGAGTTATATATATATATACATACATATCTGTAGCAGACAGCTTCATAATTCAGTGTTGTAGCAATGTATAAACATTGTCGTTCGCAGAGTTTCTAATAGTATAAAGCTTGTTGCCAGGTATTGTGTGAACACACACAGAAGGTCTCCTTTGGGGGGAAACTATACGTTAAATTCAAATGAAAATATGCGCTAATAAATATTCTAATTTTATTCAACCAGATAATAGAAGAAGGTATCATTTACTGTCAATTTATTTATTCATTGGCAAAATATATTTTTTGGAATGTTTGTAGTCTGTGTTGATCCAACATGTTCTTAACCTTAGCTCATATTTGGTAAAAATCTGGAAAAAATCTTGCTGCATGTAATAACGTCACTTCAATGACACTACACTCAAATTATATCATCAAGGCTTGGCTAATATTCTAAAAGCCCGCAACTTTTTTCTTATACTGTATAATGTTATCATATAATGTTCTATTTCCTGAGACCCTGACAAAGTAAGCAACCGCCCTATCAACTGATCTTAAATAGTACTCCTCTAGAGCAGTTAAATATCTATAAGTCATGATCAACAGAAGTACCGCTATTTTTGGTATAGTTTTTCAAACGTTTATTGAAAATAAAACACAACGAAGAAATTTTTTTGTTTTCTGCAGTGAAAAATATGAAGACAAATTTATTTTATGCAATGCACATTTACATGTCTTCCAGTACTTTTAAAGTTTAACCGCTGATATTACAGTGTAGGATTACATAATGTCATATTTGCAGGTAATTTACTTTAACCTTAATTTTTGTAACTGCACACAATCTTTGATACAATTGTGTCTCATAATTTGTTTTACTTGTTTCATATAGTGAAACGGTTTTATATTTTGTGTACGTTACATTTCACTTATTGAGATTTAAAGGGGTTGTTTTGGACCTAATATTTTTTGGTTTATTTGCGCCACATGTTTATGTATCTGTGTAAATGAAGGAGCATCGTCAATGAAGTTGTGTGTTTACGATATTAGATTTGTATTAGTATATGTATTCACAACTTATCAAACTATGGTGTGATTAAGAGCTTGGCATTGCCATGATAGGATAGACTCGGTGAGTCTTACATATTGTGTAGACATTTGTGTATCGTTGTAAGCTAACCTTTAGATAAGTTTGACTTGGGTCGTTTGATTACTGTCTCATTGGCGCATATACCATATATTCTTTCATTTGTAGAATGTGTTATTTCAGTTAAAATAAACGAATGACAAAAAAAACGCACAAATAACGTTTTTTAATGTATAAGACAACATTTCCTTACACCATGTTCTTGAAGTTTATGCTGTATTAATTTCAGATTTCGTAAGACTTCATGGTGGTTTTAAATGATTATTAGTCTTTCAAGTGTGCTTAACGACGTTTAACACTTATAGAGTACGTACAAGTAGAGTTGAAAGTTCACAAAATCAACAAATGTGTATTTTAAAATCGTAATTACGTTTATGTTTTTTCCAATGTTCAATTTAACTAATCCAGATAGTTTTGTACACGTAAATGTCTTCTTGATTTCATAATTTAAAATTAATTGTTTTTATCAAATTTACGTACTAATAAAATTGAGAATGGAAACGGGAAATGTGTCAAAGAGACAACAACCCGACCAAAGGAGTGAAAACAGCCCAGGGCCACCAATGGGTCTTCAACACAGCAAGATAATAGATAATATATGTTTATGTGCAGACAGACTTAGACAAATAATAATAAAATCATAGGAATAAAAAAGTAAATCATTCGCAATATCTATATTAACTTTTGTGTTTGTACCAAAAATCCTGCAAAAAAAGAATTATTCATTACAATCATTGCAATAATATTAGGAATCATACTTTCAAACAAATGTTACATTGCTTAAAAAACTTCATCATTGTAATAAGGCCTTTGCAGCAATGTTATTTACAAGGAAACCTGAGATCTGAACTCGGTGACGGAATTTAGTGCAGTCCCAGTAACTGAGTAGCCATCCTTCTCGACTTGTGTCGTACAATTCCCACCATTCGTTTCCCGAGTAAATATGATAACTGGTACTTCTGTGCCTTCTATTTGTGCGCAACAATTCTGTACGGATTTCTTAACTTTATAACAACATTTACAACACAATACTTTTATGAACTCACTTCTGAAGTTTTCATTAAGCCATCCGTAAAGAAGTGGATTTGTGCATGCAGAACTGAGGACTAAAATATGACAGACAACAAATGCAACGGAAACATTTTCTTCTAATGCTTTCAGTTTGCCGTTTGATACGTCAAGTAATATATTTAAAATGTTTAACGGAAACCAGCTAATTGCAAACACGCTTGCAATCATGGCTAGTAAAACATTTGTTCGTCTTTTTCTTCTTTCTTGGCGTTCATTTTTCTTTTTTTGAAATGGTGACCGACTTGTGTTTTGTGCTTGATTATTTTGATTAACCATTCTGTATTTGAGTTTGTGACATATTCTTGCATGCGCAACGACCACAATAGCAATAGGCAATATGTATTGAACAACCATAGATGCTATTGAGTATGCTCCTTTCTCTTCAATCAATGTAAGGTCTTCATGACAATGATAGAAATACACAGGAACATCAATTGGTTTTGACACCTTATATACGTTAAATATTAATAATGGACTTGCCATGAAAAATGAAATGATCCAAATTGACACAAGTGCTGCCGCAGCACCTAATTTCTTCATACTGTCTTTTGTTGGATATACAATTACCTGAAATCTGTCAAGTGCAATGGCCGTTATACTAATGGTTGACACAAATATATTAGTGCCTTGGCACATGGCAACAAACTTACACATAAATCCTCCTAGCAACCAGTAGTGATGTAACAATCTATACAAATTTAACGGTTGCGTGAAAAGGCAAAGTGTAAGATCTGATATCGACAAATTGATAATAAATATATTTCTGGGTGTCCTCATGTGGGCATTTCTAGTCACAACATAACATACAAGCCCATTTCCTGTTGCACCAAATACGATTAAGATGGCGTAAAAGGCAATTATAATTGCTTCTGTTGTTTCGTCAAATCTGCGCGATTGTGACATCTCCGTTGCGGCCTGAAACATATCCTCATAGTAGTACTTTGATAGCCAATCTGTATGATTACACGTCAACGTTGCGTTAATTAGGGAACAATTTGCCATGGTTGTATTCTGTATAATGGTGTATTCAGTGTCATTTGTCATCATGAAATAATCTGAAAAATAAAAGTATCATATGATCACATCGATCAAAGCTTATGCTTACTCCGCGTTTTTGCTTTATAATATTGATTTGAATGACGTTCAACTGCAAAAACTTTCGATCAACTCTACGCCATAAGCAACTTGTATCTTTCATGTTATTTTAGGATAAGGTAGTCAGAGATGAGTAATCTTAGAATATTATTATCAACACTACGCTCTGTGTTGAAAATAGATAGCCTGAATTTAGGTCAATCTAATATTATTAACACAGACGATTATATGTTGACTAGTCAGTTATTGTTTTAAATCTTAGTGTTATTGAAACAGGTCAAGTTATTTATTTGTTAATTAATACTGTTTTTCCCTTCCACATCGACCTAGGTATATATATATATATATTAATAAAGTTTTGTAGGGAACAAAAATGGCTTTTTAGAGCAATTGACATAGTCTCTTGTCTACTGTTTAAAACCGTGGGTTACGTGTATCTCAAGATACTTTTAAAACTTTTACATAGTAGTCTCACCATTATTATAGCCTAATCGAAATTCTTAATTAATTCTTTTTAATTCTGTTTTACAGACTTAAATAAATATCGTAATTTTGACATGAGATGTCGTTGTTTTTACATACCAAGTCTATTTAACAAGATAATATGACATTCTTACGACATATACTATCAATTTAACGAGATGTGTGATTGCGTTTAAACGATATATTATGTCGAATTAACGACAAAACTATCTTGTTATAACGACATAGTTATCTCGTTTAAAATGATTTCAAATTGACAAATAACAATAATATCCTTTGACATATGGTCTAACTGTCATTTTAATTGAATGAATCTTTAACACAGTTTATATCATTAGTTCTGGTTGACAGCTTCATAAGAAACTTCCTCGCTGCCGATGAATTCAGAGTTTTCTGCATTTCCTGTCCTAGGTAGCCATTGATGTCTTTTGATGCACTCGAAAGATAATTAAGCTATTTTCAGAACAGTTATATGATTGCGTGTTTCAGTCATTTGCTTTTTTCGACAAGTCACCATTGGTATGCTGTAGATCAAAGTTTGGAAAGCCTAGTGTCCATAACAAGTTTGTGATTATTAAACCGAAAGTGTATAAACTGACCAAGCAGAAGTTCAACTTTTCATGAGAGAGAATCCGTCTAAGTTTAAGTCTATTTATATAAAAATAACCTATACAAAACAGTCCTAATGTCATTTTTAAAGTCACGGAAATATGAGGAATCATTGACTGCTAGATAATCAGTTCCCTTGGGACAAGAGTCTACAAGCCGCAAAAACTATGCAATGAAAATGATCTAAATATGTAATAAAGATTTTAATGCGCACGCAACGTGTTTTCGAAATAATTTTCATAACTTTCAAGACTACATATTAAGAAGGTCAATAACATTGTATATTTAATGTTTGTATAATAAACATAGTATTATCTAAAATGACGGTTAAAACGCGACAAAGTGAATTTCAAAGCAATCATCTAAGCATGCATAATGAGAACAATAAGATTGTGTACAAAAGTAAGTTGGTGTATGTGTCTGTTTTCTGTCATTTAATAGCCATATGACCTTTGTTACATCAATGATTCCAGTCATGTTACATAAGAAATACGACATCTGATGCTAAATAAAAAAGACAACTTCCTGGATATTGTTTATGGAGACAATGTTAGTAGATTAAGTATGCATTACCATTCACGATTACAAAATATTCCCTGTTGTCGAATGACTTTTGACAAAACAGACAATTTTAATGACAAAATCAGTGCGATAATGTTATTTTTTCGAGTGTTACACCATTCAATTACAATAAACAGTGCCTACAGGAATATAAATCGTTAAGTTAGGCATGACTTTTGATATCCTTTTCATTATTACTGATTGCAGCTAACGTATATCGACACTAAGTACTCAGAAAGATTCAATTTTAATGCAAATTTATGACAAGTTATTGAAAATGGAAATGTTCATTGTGATACTTTTGTTGAAAGGATTAGTGTCTTTGTTAGATTTATTTGTATATTTGTTGGAATTTTTTTAGTCAGTTGTGATGCATGCTTACACTATTTTGGCTGCTGGATCCCAGTTCTTGTCATATTTATCTAGTAATATCTGTTTAGTGTGCTCACACAATTTTATGAATACAACGGAAGTATAAAAAACTGTCATACAAGTTGGAGGTTTAGCTAGCTATAAAACTAGGTTTAACCAACCATTTTCTTCGTAAAATGCCTATACCAAGACAGGAATATGACAGTTGTTTTTCACTCGTTCCGTTAATTGATAACGTTTGATTTTGTCAGTTTTTATGGACTTCCCTTTTTTGAATTTACCGTGGAGTTCGGTATTTTTGTTATCATGTTTGCTAGTCTTATGCCAATTCTAATTTATTTAAGAACTTTGTGGTCCGTTTTTTGTTTGAATAAGATGTTCATTTTAAGTCGTATTTCTACCTTTCATGTGTGTACATTGGAATTGCAAGTATTTAGTTAAATTGAAAGACGGGAAGAACTTTCCTAAAACATCTATTTTTAAGCTGTTCCTCCAATATTCAAAACTAAATAATGAACGTTGAGGATATCACATAAGACTCTGCATACTCAACATAGATAACACCTCTGAATTCCAACTTACTTATTCAGTCTATATTATGCGACAAATTAGTCATATTGTTGTAAACCGGGTTGTGTATTGTTTGGGCCTCAAGTAAGAAGCAAATTACGTAAAGTATTTCCAATATTGTATTGACTGATTTTTTTAAATTAGTTTTCTAATGTTATTACACACTGCAAAAATATTTGATGCCCCGAGTAAATAAAAAACGAAAAATAATTATATATTAACTTTATTTGTAAAAAGAAATAGCGCTCGTTTGAGTATTTTCAATACAGTCTTCGTACTCTCTCCCAGGTAACACCTGCCTCATAATAGATACACAGTTCTCCCATTAGTCCTGTTTTGGTGTATATTTTATTGATTCCAAATTTAAACTATTTTTTTACACTGGCGTTTCCTTAATGTTTTTCCAAAATTTTGAAACTCTCGGTGAAAAAAAACTAATTTTAGTTTAAAAATTACAAAAACATAAGGATTTAAAGAAATTAATCTTATACAATATAACAAAGAGACAGAAAGATCGAGTCAAAACGTTCGTCAACACGACAAACAGCATAATGCTTGACAACAACTTCATGTATCAATTCTTCATGCAAAGCCTTCCAGGTAAAATATGTCCTGACTTTCTAAAAACAATCACGAATAATTGTTTACATTTAGAACTATAAGTAGTATGGATTTCCTGAAGATTCAACACTAAGGGTGCATGCTAGACTGACCAGCCAAAAAATGATTAAGAAAATTATACACAAATATTGCATGAAAGACATTGTAGAAACAAAATACATGTAAGCTTACTTTCAAGTTCTTGAAATATATAAAGATATATAAAGATGTAACAAAATATCAAACAAATGAGGCACATACGAATCGTTGTAACATAAATAATTGATGAAGATACCACTAAATAGACTGCTTGTAGATAAACAATAAATGACACATAGATAATATATAATAATGGCACCTAAAGTACCGTCATCGTGAAATGAAAACAAGTATCTAAAGCTAACTTCATAAATAACATGCAATATTGTTAAAATTGGAGTACGAATAAATGTATTATCACATTTCAAAAACGATTTAGATATCAGTAAAAGGTTTAAGAGTAATCCCTTTTCTAGGATTAGAAATAAAATCTAAGTACTCGCAAAACGTTTTGTGTTTGTACAGGCCGACAAAGCAGACAACAAAAATAAGTAGTCGTTAGATGACGTAAATACTACATGGTTGTTCTTAAAAATTGAATTATAAATTCCTCCACATTCAAGGCCGTGCGCTCCACAAACATTCAAATAGTGGACAATCGTATCATTATCATATCTTAGCTTAAGGTCTCATCTGAACATTTAAAGGTCCCTACTGTGTATAAGCTACATAAACTACACAAACGGTATTTTGTATTGTTCCATTTCGACTTCTGGTAAGTGAACTATAACTAATTTTGAAGTCATTTTAACTATTCTCATACTGTAATTAAAGCACTTATCATTAATGTTTGAAATAAAGCATATGACAATAATCAGATCATCTTTTTCCCGAGTATATAAAACTGTTTGGATGTTTAGATAATTACTTGCCTTTGATGGTCCATTCAATTCGATTGACAGTCATGGCTTTTTGATTCTATACGCTACACTTCTAAAAGATATATCAAGAATTGATCGACCGATACGATATGTATGTGCCTCAATTCACATGTTTTCGCAGTAATAGATCTTTAGATACCAGAATAGTTGTCTAATCTGTAGTTTTACTGATACAGTCCTATTCCCAATTGTGACATTTTGACTAAGTTTTGATTTGCATGGCGGGTAATGCATGTATAGTAAGCGATATACCTTGTCGACACACCCGATCTCGCTCCATTTGGAGTTCATGCGATTCCATCAGTTTTTGTCTGTTGCCTACTTGATTTGTCTTCTTAATCAAATTATGGGATTAGAACATTTGTAAACTACTGTTATCCTAATTCAACAAAGAGAAGTTTTCATATTTATTCAAATAGTCTTTTGAAAAATCTGATTGCAAATAGTCTACTGTAATTCAAAAAGTAAAAATACTAGTAGAACTGTGATGAGATAATGAAAGCCAAATTTTCTCCATCGACAATTATGTTTATCGATAGGTTGTAGTTATTCCTATGAATACCATTTGCGTCCCTTCATTAAAAGATGTTTTCCAGTAATGTTATGAGTCACAGTTTTTAGCCAAACTCCGTTCAGATCCTTCTTAATTCCATTTAATAGCTTCGAATAATCAAGAATTATCCACTTCTACTGCGAAAGCTTACCCAAGAGAACTCATTTTGAATAGATATAAAATTGACAGCAATTATTGTCCTTTTGTAAATTGG